TCTTGGACAAGGCGGCAGGAAAAAAAAAAAAAAAACACTTTTGCTGCGAATGTGTCGGTCTGCTGCTGCGATTAAAAAAAAAAAAAAAACTCAAGTTAGTCCAAACAGACTTGGAAATGTCTTTTTTTCTGAAAAGCTCTGGGATTAGGGTTCTTTGCTGTTCTGTCCCCTCCTTCCTATCCACACCCTCTCTCCTGAATATATCTGTTTCTCATTATCTAAAACAGTGTGTGCTTTGCCTGAAACAGAAGAAAAACACTTTTGCATTCTCCCTCACATTCTGTGCAGTTTCCAGTCTCTCTCTCTCTCTCTCTCTCTCTCTCTCTCTCTCTCTCTCCTCTCACACATGCACGCACGCATACTCTCACGCCAATCCACAATTAGGCACGAACTCTCGTGCACATGCACACAGCCACTGTCTTCCTATCACACGCTCACGGTCAAATATGTTCCGCATCTTCTGACAAGACACCAGTGGAATACACCCAAATATGAATTAGCGGAAGATGCAGTTGCACGGCAGTTAAATTATGCCATTTCCGGGAACGGCTGGTCACGGCCTGAGTTTTACTGTGTTTACAGAATGTTTCTATTTATTTATTTATTTATTTATTTGCATTTTCCCAAAGTTGTGTCCCAGGGGATACAAGTTTCAACTGGTATTCTTTGTGAAATAAACAGTGTCGTTTCATCTGTCTCTGTGACTCAGGGATCCTGGCCAATCAAGCGAGCTAACAGTAGCCAGGGGGCGGAGCTCTACAGGGTGGGGTCACAGAGAAAATCATAATAGGAGGACCATAAGCAGGACCCATCAACTTACGATCGTCGGTGGCCAAGAACTGCAGGTTTTCCACCCTTTCTTTAACTGGGTGTCAGTTGTAAAAACAGTTTAGCTCATCAGTTAGTTTTTTACTTGGGAGGAAAGAAAACTAGGACAGGGTTCAGTGATCCCAGAAAATACACTGAACTGATTTGCACATTTTCACAAAGCAGTATTCTATGTTAGTTGGAGAACTGCTCTGGAAGAGTAAATCCTGGACCATCTCAAACTGGGAATGAGGACTGAAGTGGAGGCCAGCCGCTCCAGGGTTTACTCATTAAAACAGCCTCATTTATCGGGTTAAATTGGTGATCTTGCTTTGTGAAAATGCAGCTCTGCTTGGCATTGATTTACTTTCAAAGCTGGAATGAAGAGTCAGTGCCAAGTCACTTTCCCTGGACGAAGATATTATCACACAAAAAAATGCATGTCTCACTGACTGAATTACACGAAAAGAGTGCTTGATATGGGACTTATTAGTCTGACCCTGCATGTACAGTGCAGTAAATATCTCAACAGTGACACAATCATTTTTGTTTTGTCTCCGTGACCCAGAGAATAGAGAGTAAACATCATATAAGAAGCTGAGTTGAAGAATATCCACTTTAATGTAGGTCATTTGCGAACAGCCGTATCAGGTGTTGTTCCCAGCAATCGAGACCATGTTTTTGCACAGCTACTGTCAAAATACCAATGAACTGCTCTCGTTATATTTGTGGTGTAGCATTTCTGTGAGCCTCTACAGCGCTGTCAATTTGACAGGCTGACCAGCTGCTTACAGTTTGACAGACTAATCAGCACAAATGCACACAAACACACACATGCACACATGCAAACACATGAATCCGCAAATACACGTAAACCCATCAGCATATCAAAACACGCGCACACACATACACAAACACATGCATAAACACACATGCAAAGACATGCACATACAATACACACACACACACACACACACACACACACACAGACCTATGCACATCCACTTCTCTTTCCTGGTCACTGGTACATCCCCCTATTCTCCCTTCTTTCTTTGTAGCAAATCTTAGCATTAGTTATTAACATCCCGAGGAGGGAGAGAGAGAGATAGAGGAGGGTGTGAGAAATCTGCCAGCAAGTATACACATGCTTTCCCAGTGTCTCAGTCTGCCTATATATGCGTTTGTGAGCGTATCTGTGAGAGTAGGAATCTGTAGGAATCTCCGTATATAAGATATACAGTATATATATTTTTATGATGCGTCTGGGCTTGTGAATGCTTATGTTTGTGCATACCATGTGTGAGAGAATGTGGGAGTGTACGTGTAGGATTATTTAATGTGCCAGTGAAAGCATCCACAGCGTGTGTACACTGTTCGCCAGTGTGTATGCGAGTGTGTGACAAACTATCTACTTCTTAGCTGAAGAGGACAGTGAGGACAGAAAGTCCACAATGTGCGGAAACTCACTCACCGCTAATAAACATGTGGTTATTGGACTTACCAGGGGGGTGAGAGAGGGGGAGGGAGTCAGAGAGAGAGATGGAGGGAGTGAGAGAGGGAGGGAGGGAAGAGGAGAGACAGGAAGGACACTCCCCTGCGTCATCTCAGCGTGTTTCAGCCTGTGCACAAGTTTCTGAAATTTATTACCTGCAGTAGCGTGGAGATCAGAACCAGAGACCCAAGGACTGACGAGCAGACGCAGAGATTTACAGGCCGAGCTGTGGCAGACGAGGATTCAAAAACTGGGGTCAGAACCACAGGAGGTCTGAGATCAGAGAACCACTGGGACTCTAAAAGAGAAGGTTCCAGGAGCTGAGAGTGAGAACTGGAGTGGATTCACAGAGCGCGGAGTCAGAACCAGAGGATATTCAGAGAGTTAGGAGTCATAACCGAAAAAGATTCAGATAACCGGGATTCAGAGCGGGAGACAATTCATTAAGGTAGGAATCAGAATCAGAGGACATTTTGAGAGATTGGAGCTAGAACCGGAGAAGATTTAGAGAACCGAGACTCTGAACCAGACAAGAGTCACAGGCAGGACTAAGACTCAGAATCAGAGTGGATTCAGAGAAGCAGCAGGTGTGAACAGACAGACCCACTGCTGTGAAACACTGAGAGCCTGAGAGAAGCACCCTGGGCCCCAAACTCTGCTGTTCCCTCCTCTCTTTTAACTCCCAGAGACAGAGCCCCCCATCAGAAAAGTGAGTACCAACTCTCTGCCTCTCTGCTCTTCCTCTACTTTTCTCTCCTCTTATGCTCTTCTTACTGTCTCCATGGAGACAGATAGCCACAAGCAATTTCTGAGGCAGTCGTGACATTCTGTTTCATACAGAGGTGAAAGCTCCAAAGGGTTGAAGTCCAGCCCTGTACAACCTGCATATTAATAAACTCAGCCAGTCAAATTCACTGATTCTATCCTCCTACAGAAAAAACTGTACCAGTAACTAAATTTGGGTGATCTGTGCAAGGGGAGAAATTTTAGTCCAGAATCTGTATTGTCTACATGTGCCGTTATATCAAAAATGATCTGAACTAGGACACTTCTCCCAATGGCCGTCGTTGGCATGGCAGCCATCCAATGATAAAGATTTGAATCAGTTGCCTCCGAGCAGTAGTTTCCAAATTTGGTCCTGGGGCTCCCCGGTTTTCGCTGGTTTCGTTCCAACCACAAGTGCTCTTGTACAAATGTTACAAGCTCTTAATTTGTCTTAAGTAGGCAGATTTACGTTTAAAGTAGTTATCCAGCAAACATTGAGATATTGAATGACAGTTGGTTGAAAGTCTTATAAAACCTCGCTATATGGTTAAAAACAATCATCAAATGACAGTTGCCCCGACATTCGGGACATTACCAGGCTATCAACAGGACGTCCTTCCTGGATGTGACAGCGAAGAGGCCTATTCAGCTATTCTGCTAGTTTATACAGTGTGCATTCAATGGCTTTACTCATCCTAGAAACTGAAAATAAAATGTCAACTCAGTCTAAAAATAAAAATCCAACATTGACCTTCTGTTTTTCTGTGACACAAACCCCGGTCTCCTGGGTACAACGTCTGTATTAAAACCTCTCATCCAACTCAACCGCATGCCACAGTTCGTTTGAAAAGAGACTTACAAATACTACAGGCTTAAAACAGTGACACAGGAACAAAATTTACATGTAGATATAGAAATGGCGTGAAGGTGTTTCATATCTTTAAAGAATGGGCTCTGAGTAAGTACCACTTGACTTTGTTCGTGTAGTGGACATCACAAGATGGCTGTCTGATCATGTCATGACCAAATAAATCGTCAATCAAATGTCGTTGTGTAAAAAAAAAACAAAGACACGTCATATCCTTTTTTCACAGAGATAATATGATCAATATTTGCTGGTCTGCAAGTGAGGACCTGAATAGATCATTACTGGATGTGGAAATAATGCTTCCACCTATTTATTTGCCTTGTAACCACGTCACAGTTTTTGGAGTCCATTCAAAACCATTTCTGGCCAGGGATAGGACATCACTGTCCGAACAATGTTTGCCGTGTATATGTCCTCCTAATCCACATTTTGGCAGGTATCTATACATGCCGACAAGAATAAAATTCCCTTTCCGCATTGTGATATATTAGAAAGAACTGCATAAAAATAGGAAAAAATGAACCAATTAAAGTAAAGAATCAAAAAGTTTGAATTGGTGAAACTATGGACTCATGGCAAAGAAAACCAAATAATTATTAGGCCAGAAAATTATTATCAGACCTGTTTTGTTGCATGTTTATGTTATTGAGTTCAATTTTGAATAACTCTATAAACATTTTTGTTTGGAGCTTACTGCTTTTCTCAGTGTTCAAATTGATCTGTTTAAAAATATTCCCTGAAGTTGTTTGCCGTGTAGAGAAATAAACAGTATGTATAAGGGTCTTCTATTATTCCTCATGGCTCGCATGGATATTTTTGTGAAAATGTGGCTTAAGACAGTAAATGCTTAAACATGACATGCACCCATTTAGGACAAATTTATATTTTTATAAAATTTGGCGATTGCAGCTGTGGTTGGAACAGAAACCAGCATACACAGGGGGCCCAGGACAGAGAATGGGAACCACTGCCTCTTTGCAACTGACCGCTATAGAGAAAGTTTGCAAACTGCTGAAGGCCACTATGTGCTGTGTTTGCAGGAGCAACAAACACAGTCACCACAGCTTCACCGGGATGGCCGAGTGGTTTTAAGGCGTTTGACGTAAGGTCCAATGGATATATGCCCACATGGGTTCGAACCCCACTCCTGGTAGATTGCCCCTTTCACTCTAACCTAAAAACATGGACCCACCTTCTCACAAAACACTGAAAAATGGGGGAATTCCACATTTTAAGTACAATCAAGATACTGGCAGCTATGTCCGTGTTGACTAATCAACAACGGGTTACATCAGGCGTTCCCAAACTCAGTCCTGGGGCCTCCCTGTGTATGCTGGTTTTTGTCCCAACCATAATTGCCATCATAGGACTTTAACAAGCTGTTAATTTGTCCAAATTGGGTGCATTTTGTGTTTAAATATGTTATTTGCTGTTTTAAGCCAAATTTTAATAGAAATATCCATTTGTGCCATGAAGAATAAAAAGACCGAATAAAAAGACCCTTGCATATAAAGTTTTTTTTTTTTTTTTTTTTCTGCGTGGCAAGCAATTTCGGTAATAACATTTTTAAACAGATCAAATCAGGTACTGAGAAAATCAGTAACCTCCGAATTAGGTTGCTGAAGACAGGTGATTAGAGTTCTTTCAAAATAATTTGCTTGCACTCAATCACAAAAACGTAACATAAAACAGGTTTGACTCTGTCATTTGCTTGTTTAGTAAATTGTTAGTTTTAGCAACCATGTGCCCACAGTTTCACCAATTAGGAACCCATTGTTTTTTTTCCTTTGATTGGGTACATTTTTTCCCTCTTTTTATGCAGTTGTTACTCATATATTGAAATGTGGATGCAGAATTTATTCCTCACTGTTTGCATGCATATCTGTCAAAATTCTGTTTGTCGAGAGAGGATAAAGTGCTGCTCTGAACAAAAATGCACCTAATTAAGACAAATTAACAGCTTGCTAAAATCCTGTGATTGCAAACCAGGGTGGAGCAAAAACCAGCATACACAGGGAGGCCCCAGGACCGAGTTTGGGAACCCCTGGGTTACATCATAAATCAGGGATAGTGAGATGGATGGATTTGTGGATGTGATACCCAGAAGAGCTGAACCATGTTGCTATTTGTGAAAATTTCCAAGTTTTAATCATTCAATTTATCAAGCTGACTCTGCAGTCCTGCCGTGAGACGCCCCACCCCCATATACGTAACTCAAAGGTTTGATTCCCAGATTGGACTCTGCCATCGTACCCTTCAGTCAGGCAAAGCATAGTGTTCTTTGAGCTTCATGTGAGGAAACCATGATAAGTGTAAGTTACTATGGATGAGAGAATGAGAGAGCGTTCGCAGTTAAACATAACATTTCATTTTTTTCCATACAGCAATTAACTGTGAAGTCAAAAAGTGTGGACACTTAGCTTTCAAATTTATTTGCCTTACCACAAATGGATCAACTAGCTTTGACATGTATTGACTGCAAAACTGACTCAAAAAAGGCCAATGGATGTGATTAATATCACTTACATACCATGTAGTCATTGCTGCAGGACTTAGCTAAGGTTTCCTGTAATTAAGTAACAATAGCATGGCTATAAACTGTGGTTGTTTGAGCAAATACCTTGTGCAATGTTAGACATTGTTGATTGTGTCGTGTATTGTAATCTGCTCCCTCACACTCCTCCTACCTAATCTTTGTAGAATGTTTTAAAGTTATTCTGTATTTCACAAACTCCATGTTCAAAACCTGAAAGACAAATTTTTAAGTCCCTGTTCCCCGGGCTTGAGCATCGGCTTAGTGTCTTTACTTTAAAAGAGAAAGCTGATCCAAAGAGGCATGTTTTTGCACGCTGTCACTAAGTACACCCACTGCCAGGCGGAATGCTCGGATGAATATTTGGCCTGATACGTCAGTCTGACAGGGGGCACGCGCATGTACACACGTGTCTGCTGCAGAGGTGGTGTGTGTGTGTGTGTGTGTGTGCATACGCGCACGCACATAGGTGCATTTTTCTCATCTATTGGGGACTTTTATAAACTCTGACCTTGTCGGGACCAGTACTTCTCATGGAGTCAAAGCCCGGACTTAATGGAACAAAACCTAATTACCTGGTCCTTGTCAAGGCTAGGGGTAAGGTTTGAGTTGAGATTAGGCTTCAGTGCCCCTATTCTGTGACTTTTCACTGATCATTCTTGTATTCTTGAACTCTACAAAAAAAAGTTTCAATGGGTCACTGTTAAAAAAAAACTTGAGTTTTCTCATGCTTGCCAATTCTGCAGTACCTGTCTGTGAAACGCTCCATTGAAAGTCCTGCCCCCGCCCTCCCGAAAACCTCAGTGCACTGTGATTGGTCAACTTGATCACTCACTTGTGATTGGTCCACCCTTCGAGCCCCTTGTCACGCCCTTTACCATAAATGGATTTCCGCCTTAGAAACAAATATCGGTTAAGGCTTGTGGGCGAAACCCACTTGATTCAAGAGCGTGCCAAACCATCTGCTTGGCGCGAAAATTCAAATGGTGACATCATCAATTGATGAAAAAAAAATGGCCAGAAGCTATTGGGGCGTTTCAGTCAGCTCTGTAGCAGTGTGTTTTACGGCAGAAAATGTTTCTTCTGGAGGTGATTTTGAGTTGTTTTCCAACACAGACCTTTTAAATGCACATAAAAACGATATTATTCAGACTACGACATTAAAATAATGAAAAACCATAATAGGTGCACTTGCAAGTTCGGGCTAGCTTGATTTGGTTATGCTTAGACCTACGGTAAGGGTTCCACAACGGATGGAAGTCAATTAAATGTCATAATGAGGATAACTGCGCAAACCTGTGTGTGTGGGTGTGTGTGTACATGTGGGGACTAAAAGTGCCAAGTCTGAACTTAAAGACACCGCAGGTATAGAGAAGCCCAAAAAGAGCACTGTGGAGACTTTTTTGGGATTCCTAAATGGAAAAGGCTTAATTCTGGGGCAAGGTTTGGGTCTGCAGTTACAATTTAGATTATGATAAGGACTAGGTCTACTTTTGAGGTTTGTGATTTCAATTATGCTTGAGGATAATGCCACCCTGACACTTGCACGATTTTTGTCCCAGCAATGCCACGCAATGCGTTGTGGCAAGGCGTGCCATTTCGGTGGTACGCAGCAGAGCCTTGTTTGCGCCCTGTTTGCGCACTGTACACGCATAAGTTACGCGCTGTCTACGCAATGCGCAGCCAAAAATTTGAACTATGCGCGAATAATGCGTGAACACTTCATGAGAAGTTCCTGCCATGCGCGAATGGCTTGTGACGTGCGCGAACTATGCGCGAGCTGGACGTGCCATGATCACGTGAACAACTCGTGACAGCACCCTAACACGGCACGCACTGACACGCACCGTCGGCAGTGTTCGCACCGAGTTCGCGTAGTGTTCACACATGGTTCACGCAAGTGGCACGCGCATGGCACGAACATTGCATGCCGAATGCATGCCGAATTTTTGAACATTTCAAAATTCTCTCTACAACATGGCACGCACCCCCGCACCCTTCACACACTCCTCACGCTCCTTCCCGAAGACTTTAATCATTGTCAGGCATTGCGGGAGCAAAAATCGTGCAAGTGTCATTGGGGAGTGCATCTCTGGGGTCCTCTTCCCTCAGGACCAGCCAGTTCACTCGCCCATCTGCCTCTTTCGTAGTCCATGCTAGGGGACCATACCAGATTCTAACACCTAAACCCCACAGAGCAACAACATTGCATTCATTCTGACCTCTGCCTGTATTGTGGTTCAGCCAACCATCTCACAGCTGACAGCCCAGCCTGATGACTCCAAGCTGTCCAGGGGACTGAGGTGTTCTCTGGGTCCCCCATCTCTTCCTCCCAGCCTCAACTCCTGTAGCAGGCCTGCAAGTTTTCAGCTCAAACTTTGATTGATTCTGGGGCAAATGGTAACTGTCTACACCCTTCCCTCACCAAATGGTTGGGTGTCCCCACGGCCCATCGGCCTGTGCCCATCCTGTCCAGAAATGGCGGTTCCTGACATTGTTGAAGCCATCAGCCTGGTTCTGATGAAAGTCTCCAGCAACAATCTTGAGACCAATGTACTCCTCTGTGATGGAATCAGCACATGCTCCCCTGGTGCTGAGGAGGTCAAGGCTAAAAAGACATAATCCTTACATAAATTAGGCTTGTGGTGCCATTTTTGAATGGAGTTCTTCTGCCCCCCCCCCACAAGGAGTCACCAGACGTTAAATGGGCTCCTCCCACCTACTACGACTTTCACCCATGTGACTGTGCCATTGATCACCACCCTGGAACATTGGCACTGAATGGCAGCCTGTATGCACTCTTAGTACCAGAATCCAGAGTAATGGATGCATATATATCTCTGAGGCCCTGTCCTTTGGCACTATTCAAACTTAGTCTTCACTGTCCAGTGCCGGTTTCTTCTTTCTCTCAAAAAATGATGGTTCTCTACGCCCATGCATTGACTTCAGAGGTCCAAACGCCATCATAGACAAGAGCCACAATCCACTTCAGCTTTTGGACTCCACCATCTCCAACTTCCCAGGGTGCTACTACATCACTAAGTCGGACCAGTGCAATGCCTACCATTTGGTCTGAATTAGGGAGGGTGAAAAATGGAAGATGGCATTCAACACCCCCTCCACCTTCTACAAGTATTTGATGATGTCATTTGGGCTCATTAACACCCCTATTATGTTCCAGAACCTGACCGATGATGTCCTCCGTGACATGATCTCTCGCCTCATGTATGTGGACCCCGATGAGACCCTGGTGTTCACCACCACCCTGGAGGAACATACCCAGCATGTCTGGAGAGTGATCTAGCAATTACTGGAAAGCCAGAACTTCCTTCGGATGGAAATCATCATGGGTCAGTTGAAAGAACAAGCTGTCAAGGACAGACTGGTACCCGCAGACTGCAACTAGCAGCAGAGATTCCTGGGCTTTGCCAACTTTTACTGGTGCGTTCATCAGAGGTTACTTTACAGTTGTCCAGTTGGGCATGCATCGCCATGTACCTCATTTCTGGGCTGCTGGAGCCTGTTGGGTTCAGGATTGCCTTGACTATCATGGACCATTCTTTGAAGGCAGCCCACTATGTCCCACTAGCAAGGTTGTCCCCCGTCCAAGGAGACAGCGA